CAGATTACCGGCCCACAGCATGAGTGCTTGCCAGCTCACCCTCTACAGGTTTTCGGTGCAAAGAGAAACGAGAACAACGTGCTCTTTCACAAAGTCAAAAGCCACCAAGACGTGGCCCTGCGTGTCAGACACGCAGTCTCCCGCCGGCCAGAGGGACCCTGCTTTTCAAAGCGGGTTCCAACGTTTGCCGATGCCTTTCAACGACCACTTCGGTGGATCACAGAAGTTCAACTCTAGGGTATGAGATACACCCATCCTGGAGAGAGTCACACAAATCTAGAGCTGGAAGTAGTCAGAGAGGGCTGCCAGGGAAAATACAGGATGCCTAGTTATTGCGTGGGACACACTCATAAAAACCATTCATTGTTTATCTGCAAGTAAGCTTAGCCGGGGCTGGGCGCGGTGGCTCACACCTGTGATCCCAGGACTTTGCAAGGATGAGGCAGCAGGCAGATCACTTGAAGCCGGGAGTTCAAGACCAGCCTGGCCAACATGGTAAAACCCCGTCTCTACTAAAAACACAAAAATTAGCCAGGTGTGGTGGCGGACGCCTGTAATCCCAGCTACTCGGGAGGCTGAGCCAGGAGAATCGCTTGACCCCAGGAGGCAGAAGTTGCAGTGAGTGGAGATTACACCACTGCACTCAAGCCTGGGTGACAGAGTGAGACTCCGCCTCAAACAAACAAACACTTAGCTGGATAACTTAGTTATCCTGGGTTTATTTGCTGAATCTGGCCACCCTATGCAAGGTCATCTGATTTCTAACAGCTGGCTGTCCCAAATGGGGACCTGGAGAACCAGACAGGGAAAGTGAATGAACTGGTCCCCTCAGAGCCACCTCCCAGATGAAATCAGAGTAACCCCATGGAGGTCCTGAGTCACTGTGGCACCTTGCCCTGCCTGCCTAACAAAGACCTCCTGGCAGGACCCAGGAGAGGGCAGGAATGAAGAGGAGTCACAGCTGAGGAATGTGACAGTTTGCCAGGTGAGTGGGCTCCAGTCACAGTGGGGCAGGGTGGTGGGGAGGCTGGGTAAGCACCTGCAGCTCTCTGGGCCTGCAAACAGGGAAGAGAGTGTGGGCAAGCTGGGCTCCCAGCAGGCTCATGACACACACGGTGGTTTTCTTGTTGAGGAAAGCCACTTTGTTTCTGCAGCAGGATTAGAATTCCTGCAATTCCAGCCAGAGGAACTGGGTTGGGAAGCGCATTCACATGCCTCCATCCTGGTCCGCAGAGTGGGAGATGGGGGTGCTGCCTGCAGCCTAGCCAGGGTCCTGCAGGGACAGTGAGCTTCTCTCTGAGTAGCTGCGACCTCCACCTGGCCCACGGGAAGCCTTCACCAGCAGGAAGCAAAACAGGATGGGGTCGGGGCAGGATGCCCACCGAAATCCCTACCTGCTTGGCTTCCCACGAGTATGTGACTTACAGCAAAATACTTGCCTACTGTCCCCTCTGGGCCACTGTGAAATAACAGAGCTGAACACCTTAGGATTCGAGAGCCTTTCTGTACATACAACAAGAAAAACATTTACCAAAAAATAAGAGGGCTTTGAGACGAGCCTGGGCAATATGGTAAAACCCTGTCTCCACAAAAAATACAAAAAGTAGCTGGGTATGGTGGCACGTACCTATGGTCCCAAATACTTGGGAGGCTGAGCTGGGAGGATCGCCTCAGCCCAGGAGGTAAGGCTGCAGTGACCCATGATCATGCCACTGCTCTCTGGCCTGGGCAACAGATGAGACCCTGTCTCAAAATAAATAAAAGGGGTCTACCCTTAGAAGTCAGGTTAACGGCTACCCAAAGGGAAACCATGGCTGGGAGGAGCATGAAGGGGTGGCTGGGGTGTCCAGGGGCTGGAAGTCTGATGACAATGGTCATATCGTCTTGCCCACAGGAAGTATCAAGTTGTCAAATATTTGAAGAGCTTTATTCTGAGTCAAATATGAGTGCCCAGAAGGCCCCAGGAGATCCCGAGAACACGTATCCAAGAGAGCTGGGCTACAGCCTGGTTTTATACATTAGGAAGACACAAGGTACCAGTCAGTGCATGTAAGATATACATTGGCTCAGTCCGGCAAGGTGGGACAACTGGTGCAGGGTAGGTGGGATGGGGTGTTTTTTGGGACTTGGCTTTTGGGTCATAGAAGGACTCAAAGATTTTCTGATTGGCAATTGGTTGAAGGAATTATTATCTAAAGACCTGGAGTCAATAGAAAGGAATGTGTGGGTTAGGATAAGGTGTTAGGCTTCAGAGAGAACAGACTGTAAATGTTTCTTATCAGACTTAAAGGGTCTGTCCCATCAGTCTTAAGTTCTGCACTGATGTCAGTGTTGGTCCACTGGGCCTGAATTTCAGCACGGAAGAGGGTATAAAGAGGCACATGCAACTGCTCCTTCCCATCATGGCCTGAACTCGTGTTTCAGGTTAGCTTTGGAATGTCCTTAGCCTAGAGGAGTGCTCCATTCAGATGGTTGGGAGGCTTAGAATTCTTATTTTTGTTTTTTCGTTTACAATCTCTAATCTTTTTTTTTTTTTTTTTTAAAGAGATAGGAGTCTCACTGTGTTGCCCAGGTTGGTCTCAAACTCCTGGCCTCAAATGATGCTTGTGCCTCATCCTGCCAAAGCACTGGGATCACAGGTATGAGCCACTGTGCCTGGGCCCCATCACTTACTAAGGCTGGAATGCAGTGGCGCCATCTTGGCTCACTGCAACCTCCACCTCCCAGGTTCAAGTGATTCTCCTGCCTCAGCCTCCAAAGTAGCCAGGATTACAGGCATAAGCCACCACACCCCAGCTAATTTTTGTATTTTTAGTAAATACGGGGTTTCACTATGTTGGCCAGGATGGTCTTGATCTCTTGATATGCCTGCCTTGGCCTCCCAAAGTGCTGGGATTACAGGCATGAGCCACCATGCCCAGCCCACTTACTAATCTTTGTAAAGATGGGGGAGTGATACTTAGCAGACCCAGAGGCCTAGCCTGGCCTCCACTCTAGGTAAGAGCAATTCAGTGCCATGGCTCAGGGTTCCAGGCCTGGCCTTGCCATTTTCCAGCCATGTGACCTTGCGTCAGTCACTCTGCCTTTACAAACTTCTCTTTTCCTCATTTTAATTTTTTAATTATTTGGATTTCTTTTTCGAGACAGAGTCTCCCTCTGTTGCCAGACTGGAATACAGGGGCACGGCTCACTTCAACTTCTGCCTCCTGGGTTCAAGCAATTCTCCTGCCTCTGCCTCTCCTGTAGCTGGGATTACAGGTGCATGCCATCAGGTCCAGCTATTTATTTTTCATAGAGACGGGGTTTCACCATTTTGGCCAGGATGATCTCGATCTTCCGATCTCACCATTCGCTCGCCACTCCCCCCCCAACCCCCGCACGCCCCCGGCCTCCTAAAGTGCTGGGACTGCAGGCATAAGCCACCACGTTTTTGGGTTTGTGGCCCAGGCTAGAATGCACTAGTGTGATCATAGCTCACTGCAGCCTCAACTTCTTGGGCTCAAGGAATCTTCCTGTCTCAACCTCCTGAGTAGCTGGGACTACAGGTGTGCACCACACCCAGCTAATTTAAAAATTGTTTGTAGACGGGGTCTCACTATGTTGCCCAGGATGGTCTCAAACTCCTGGCCTCAAGCGGTCCTCCTGCTTTGGCATCCCAAAGTATTGCAATTACAGACGTGAGCCACTGTGCCCAGCCCTATTTCCTCACCTTTAAAATGGGCTAACAGTATTTGGCTGGAGAGTTGGTTAGGAGATTAAAACGGAAAACACAGGGTCTGGTGCACCAGGAACGCTTGGTAAGCATGGAATACCACGGTCTCTTTTTCAGTGTCCACTGACGGGACGCTCCCATTTCAAGTCTCCCGAGGTGAACTGCACCTCGGGCTGGGAAAATGCACTCTCTGTGTTTGGGGTGCACATGGCCGGCATGGGAAGGCGCTTCCAGGGAGAGGAGATTAGGTGGTGAGCTTTCAGCCTCCTTGGGGCTGGCAGAGGGATTAAGTGTTTCCATAAATACATGGCCTCCTCCCCTCCACAGGACCTGGTCCCGAGCAGTGGGGGCGCAGAACCCAAGGAGGGCGTGGCCTGCACAGGTGAGGTGCTTTTTGGCGTGAACCCAGCCCAGAACAGGGGCCTCGTCCCACTTTGGGTGGGTGGGGTCTAGGCAGGAAACGCCAGCGCCTGTGACTCAGGGTATGCCTCTCTTGAGTCTCAATTTCCCCACCTGTACATTGAGGCATTCGTTTCCCGAGGCCTGCACTAACTCAGAAGTGCCTCTGCCTCACTGCCTTCCCTTCCTCCCTCTTCCTCGGGCGTCAAAGGCTGTCCAGCTGCACAGATTTTCTCTTGATTCCATGCGGGCCCCGCAGCCAGAGACTGTGAGAGAAGTCGCAGCCTGCCCCGTAACCCGCCCACCGCCTATCCCTGGGGGGAGCTGCGGGTACCCTTTTTACTGAGGCCTCCCCCAGTTCCACCCGAGCGCAGACAGCCAGAAGAAGGCACGGGTGCATTCACACGGGTCGCCCTTTGCGGTTGCAAACCTGCTTTGATGCCCTGGGAGCGCAGGGCGCCCCTAAGTGAGGCGGTTTATAAATAATAGATTTGGAAATACTCGATCGAGGGGAAATGGTTCCTCGGGAGGCCTCCTGCCCCCGCCCCCCGCCGGGCTGGCTTCCAGCTCTCAGGAATGGCGTTCTGGTCCATTCCCAAGGAACCCGTGACAGCGCGGGGTGGCCCGTGGGGAATGGGGGGGCCAGAGGCTTCCGCGCGGGGACACACCCCCATCGCCGGTGTAAGTTGCAGTGCGGCCGACCCAAGTTTCCCAAAGCCTGTGTCTCCGCGGCAAAGTCTGCAAGAAGTTGGGGGGACGCCAGGGCCCGCGTGGGTCCCCCACAGCGCCCCGGGCTGCCTTGCTGGGCGTGGACGCCTCCCGGCCCGGGCCGCGGTGCTCTGGGGAGGCGGGCGTCCCGGGGAAGGGGCGGCGGGCGCGGGGCACTCACCACTTCCTTCCTGGTGGGCTTACTGCGGAGCCGCGCGCGGGGCACGCCCGGGCGCTGGTGGCGGTGGCGGCTGCGGCCGGGCTCGGGGGGCCGCGGCGACGAGCCTGCAAGAGAGAACAGCGGGGGTCATGGCCCGGCCGGCGCTCGGGCCGCCGCGCGCCTCCCGCGGTCCCGCCCCACTCCTGGAGGGCGGCGCTGACTGCAGCCGCCGGGCCGCGGGCGCCGGGATTGCACCGGTCCGGCGCGGGGCGGAGCGGACCCGCCCGCCGCCTCCCTGGAGCGTGCCAGGACCCGCCCGGAGCCTTCGGCGGCTGTCCCGACCCTTCGCTGCTCGCCTGGTTCCTCCCGCCAGGCCCTGGGCCGTCCCGGGGAAAGTTTGGACCGCGGTCCGTAGGGCTCCCCACGGTGCGCCCCTCTCCGGGGCTGGGTGCCGGGCTCCCTGCGACCCTGCCCAGCCCTGGGTGGTGAAACGGAGCACCAGGGTTTCTTCTATACTGGGGGTCTCGGCTTCAGTGAACCCCGCCGCCCAGATGTGAAGAGTGGAGGCGAGAACAGGGAGCTCCCCCATCTGGCCATCTGCAGCCGCCCTCCGGTGGTGCATGACCCCAGGGACTGGTAGGCAGTGCCCCTTCCCTGTCGCTCCAGCTGTGCGCGTTCCCTTTTGCTCCACGCAAGCCTTTGCACCCCATTTTCGGGTAAACCTGGGGGTCCAGTCTACAAGGAGGTCAGGGCTTGCTTCTGAGCCCCCTGGGCGGCTGCAGGTGTTTGGTGCTGACCTTGAGCACCCGCGAGAGGAACCCCCAGCTCCCCGCAGTGTGGACACAGAAGTCTTTTGTCCAGATGGGCTTCTTAGGAGGCACACACCCTCAGTCAGCCCCACCTGTGTGGAGGCCTCTGCGGACATCTGCCCAGTGGGGTAGGAGGAACACAAAGATGCCTGCCCTGTGCTTTCCATGTCATTGTCATAAGCCTGTGGTACCCTCCCGACCCTACAAGCCCAAGGTCTCCACACCCTGGGCCCTGTATATTTCTGGAGTCTTAGGAGGGGAAACTGAGTCACAGAGCAGGAAAGTGACATTGCCTTAGTGAATGTGGCAAAGAGTTGCAGGAAATGGAGTCATCGTCTTAGCCGTGTACTGCTGCTTGAGCCATTGCCAAAAATGGGGTGATCTTCAGGTTACCCTGACAGGCAGAAATGGATCATGGGCCCCACTCCCATCCCTCTAACAAAGACAAGGGTAGGCCTGGGGCAGGACCTTCCTTCTACTCATCTCCACCCTCCAGAGGCAGGATGGGACCTGCCGCTGGCCCGTGCTGGGCTGGTGGGTGTGCCCATGAAAGCTGCTGCCCCAGCTGCAGGACTGGGGGGGTGCAGGAGGCTCCCTGCTGAGGGCACATCCCTGGGGGAGGGCTTAGAAAGCCAGGAAGAGCTCAGAGGCTTCAGGGCACGAGGGGGAGGGGGCTCAGCAAGCTGGCTGTGGGCAAATCATCATGCCTGGCTGTGTGCCGACCCTTTGGGTGTGGGGAGGCAGTGATCAGATCTAGGCTCTTGAGGAACTGAGATGGACAAACCTAGGCGACTAAGAACCAAGGCTCTGAGACCCTACAGCACAGCACTCCCTCCTCCATGGGTCACCTCACAACCCAGCTGTGCCTGCCCTGGAGCCAGGTTCCCTTTCGGGATTGGGCAAAGATGTGCTTAATATCTGTCTCCCTGCACTGCTGCTTCCTGCCCTTCCCAGGGGCTCCCTGTGCCCCAGCCCTTCAAGGAGTCAGCGGGTCTCTGGGAAAGTGCAGCCCCTCCTGAAGGTCCCAAGGGGCCTTTTCCTGGGCTGCTGAGGGTCGCATGTCCTGCTCCTCCCCAGGGAGCTTTGAGGCAGAGCCACTATGAACTGTCTCCTCTAATAGTGTCGCGGAAGTCCCTAGGGATGACAGACAGGCAGGCACCCTCACCCTGCCTTCTTGTTCTGGAAGGATGCAGAAGGGGTGACACTGATGAAGATGAGCTTGTCTCTGGGCCTCAGTTTCCTCAAAAGAGAACCTGGGATTTACTTATTTATCAGGTTCTGTATTTAACCTGACGCCAACTGTGCAGGCAGCCCTCACCGAGCAGGTGGCCTGTTCGTGGCAACCCTCCCAGGTGTGGTGCCCTGGGCTTAGGGAGGTCACAGGTTGTGGGTCTCCCAGCCATCGAGGAGTGGAGACAGCCGGTCTCCACTCCTGCGCTCTCCTGCCCCCAGCGGAGGAGACAGGAGTCGCTCATCCCTGGGGAGTTTGGCTCCTGCCTCAGCCCTGGGGGAGGGGATGCTGCACTAATGAGCCAAGGCCAAGGAAGATGTGTTTTGTCAACTATACAGACTGAGATGAGGAATGGAAAGAATCCGGTTTAATCTGCCTCCTCCCCCAGGAGGCTGCTGCCGAGAGAACAGTGGGTTTGCCCTCCCGCATCAGTTTCCCAGTGTCTGCGCCGTGGGCATCTCTGCTGGTCACCCTTTGTGCTGGGGCTGTCCTGCGCACTGTGGGTGCTGAGAACCATCCCTGGCCTCTGCCTCCGAGGTGCCAGGAGCACCGTCCCTCAAAGTCATGACAACCAATATATCTCCCAACACTGCCACCTGTCCCCTGGGAGCACCATGCCCCGGGCTGAGAGCCCCTGAGTCTTTCCCAATAGTTCCCTGCCCTGACTGAATGCCAGGATCACTGGGCGAGCTGACAAATACATACATAAAAGTGAATAGAGCAAATACCCAGGCCCTGGCGTCACCCCAGGGGCTCTGGCTTAATTGGCCCAGGTGGAACCCAGGTATGGGTATTATGTAAAAACCCCAGGTGAGGCCAGGTGTGGTGGCTCATGCCTGTAATCTCAGCACTTTGTGAGGCTGAGGCGGGAGGACTGCTCAAGTCCAGGACTTTGAGACCAGCCTGGGCAGCATCGTGAGACACCTCCCACCCCACAACCCCTGCTGTCTCTACAAAAATACAAAAAGTTTGCCAGGTATAGTGGCGCACGCCTGTAGTTCCAGCTACTTGGGATGCTTGGGTGAGAGGATTGTTTGAGCCTGGGAGGTTGAGGCTGACCTGGGTGATGTTAACAGTCGCCTCTGACAGAGAAGTCTGAATCTGGCATCAGAGGGCCCACCTGCATGTCACTTTCCTGGCAGCCAGGAGAGGTGCCTGCCCGAGGAACTTGGTCTTGATCTTGGGGTGGGGCTGGTGGTGGGCAGCCGCTGGTGGGGACCCAGGGGCTCTGGGAGGAGAGTTCCGCTCAGCAGCCTCACCTTGCGCCGCCACCTGGGAAGAGCTGCAGGGAGTGCAGAACCTGCAGACCTGGAGATGAGGCCAGGGGCAGCCCCACACCTGCTGTGATCAGAATCCGCTGGAGTGCGGGGAAGGGCAGGTGCTGGAGACTGGGATTCTTTAGGTGTGGGTGCGGGGCGGGAAGCTGGCCTCTGAGTCCCGTCCTTCCCTTTCAGACCTGGGAGACTCTGGGTCTGCAGAGGAAGTAGAAGAATTAGGGCAATTTCTCCCCTCCTCTCCCCTTGGAGAGTAAAGGTTGGGAGAGCAGCTTCGTGTGCACACAGTCCCACAAGAGCTCTACGCACTTACTGGTGCCCATGAGGCAGCGCTCCACGCCCTGAGAAAACAGTGGCTGAGCAAGACAGACCAAACCCTGCCTCATGGGCACCAGCGCCTGACTGCTGCAGAGAAAACGTTTACAGCAGAGGCTACAGTGGGTGAGGGTGGAGAGTCAAAACTGTAGACAGAGTGGGCAAGAAAAAGCCTCTAGGAGCCAGTGACTGGAGGAAGCCCGGGCAGGTGCAAGGGGAAAAAACTCCCAGGCAAGTTCCGGGTTCAGGATGCAGCACAGGGAGCACCCCGCAGCCACACCCACTCAGCAGGGACCCGAGCCCGGGGGCTCTGCATCACCTCCCAGGGGTCCTGCAGGGTGGGGAGTGGGGCTAGGAGGCAGACCCTCTTTCCATTCACAATTCCCCACGTCTCCACCAATGTGCGGTGCACCTGTGACATTCAGTTTTCCTCTTTCTTTTTTTCTTCCTTTCTTTCTCCTTCCTTCCTTCGTTCTTTTCTTTTCTTTCAAAAGTGTCTTGCTCTGTCACCAAGGCTGGAGTGCAGTGGTGTGATCTCGGCTCATTGCAACTTCCACCTCCCAGGTTCAAGTGATTCTCCTGCCTCAGCCTCCTGAGTAGCTGGGACTACAGGTGCCCACCACCATGCCTGGCCAAGTTTTTGTATTTTTAGTAGACACAGGGTTTCACCATGTTAGCCAAGATAGTCTAACAAGATAGTCTAACAATCTCCTGACCTTGTGACCCACCCGCTTCAGCCTCCCAAAGTGTTGGGATTACAGGCATGAGCCATTGCACCCCGCCAATTTTTGCTTTTATAAAAGAGCCTGGGGTGATTCGGACTTGACCCTTCTGCCATTCGAGCATGCAGCCAAAAGGTGCCACCTTTGATTCAGAGAGCAAAACCTCACCAGACACCAAAACTGCCTTCATCTTAAACTTCCCAACGTCCAGAACTGTCAGCAATAAGTGCCTATTGTTTAGAAATGGCCTGGTCTAAGCATTTTATTAGAAGCCCATAAGAGACCAAGTCAGGGGGCTCCTTCTTGGACCCTAACCACTGTGCCTTGAGATGCCCAAGCCAGCAGGAGGGCCTGGGCGTAGACTCGCTGGGGACCCGAAGCTGAGCACTCTGCCCATGAGGGCCAGCACACTCACACTGGCCATGTGTGGAGCCAGTTTGGAGGCCCAGCCCAGGAGAGCCCCATCACGTGACAGCAGCCCCAGCCAGTGTCATGAGGTGCCCAGAAACCACCTGGCAGAGCCTAGGCCACATGGAACTGGGAGAAAATGTAAAATGGTGATTGTCTTAAGCCACAAAGTTTTGGGATGTTTTGTTACACAGCAATAGATTGGTAGCAAGCTCTTACTAAGTATGCGGCACAGACATGTTCTGAGTTAACGTTTGCTTTGAGCTTTGTTAAGACTAATTAGATTTCTAAATTCGTTTTCTCTGTAGTTAGATTTTGAATTATTTGAAATGTCCAGAAAAATTCTAGAGCATGAGAAAAGGTATGCTCACCTCTTCACCCAACGATCACAAACCAATTTGTTATATTTGCTTGAGGTTTTTTTTCGAGAAGACATTTTTCTCTTCCTTATAGGCTGGGCGTGGGGGCTCACACCTGTAATCCTAGCACCTTGGGAGGCCGAGGTGGGTGGATAAACTGAGGTCAGGAGTTCAAGACCAGCCTGGCTAATATAGTGGAGCTGCTACTAAAAAAAAAATAAGTACAAAAAATTGGCCAGGTGTGGTGGCAGGTGCCTGTCATCCCAGCTTCTCAGGCAGCCGAGGCAGGAGAATCCCTTGAACCTGAGGGGCAGAGGCTGCAGTGAGCCGAGATCACGCCAGTGCACTCCAGCCTGGGCAAAAGAGTGAGACTCCCTCTCAAAAAAAAAATAAAAAGAGAGGCCACGCATGGTGGCTCATGCCTGTAATCCCAACACTTTGGGAGGTCGAGGTGGGCAGATCACCTGAGGTCAGGAGTTTGAGACCAGCCTGTCCAACATGGTGATGCCCCGTCTCTACTTAAAATACAAAATTACCCAGGCATGGTGGTGCATGCCTGTCATCGCAGCTACTCAGGAGGCTGAGGCAGGAGAACTGCTTGAACCTGGGAGGCAGAGGTTCTGGTGAGCCAAGTTCATGTCATTGCACTCCAGCCTGGCCAATAAGAGTGAAACTCTGTCTCAAAAAAAGAAAAAAAAAAAGAAAAAAAAGAGAGAGAAAAAGGAATTCTTTGTTACAGATGCTCAGAGCCCTGTGTGTGCCCCTCACCCTTGCCGCATTCCTCCCCTTCTTCCCTGCCCCGACTCTGGAGCTGCCCCCTGCTCTGCTTTTATTGTTTGGCCGCCATGCAAGGGAGTAGGCACTGGGATCCCATTGTACAGGTGAGGAAACTGAGGCTCAGAGAGGCCACATGGTTGGGCCAAGGACACCCAACTGGAAAGGGGTAGGCTGCCTCTGTGGTCAGGACCCAACACACGGGCAGACAGCAGGTCAAGGGCAGGCGGCTCCATTGGTTCTGGGTGACTTTCGTGTGCAGATGTGTGCTACACTTGTACTGAGGGACTCCAGAGGGGTGGGCCCAGGCCCGAGGGGACAGGGTGCCAGGAATGTACTCTGCCTGGGGGGAACAGACACAGTGGTAACTGCTGGAGGTGGGTGATGGGCACGTGGAGTTTGTTGTGCCAGTCTCTCTCCATATATATGTTTGAAAACTCCCTAAGTCAGAGTTTAAAAAAGAAAGGCCTGATACGGTGGCTCACGCCTATAATCCCAGCACTTTGGGAGGCCAAGGTGGGAGGATCACTTGAGCTCAGGAATTCCAGACCAGCCTGGCCAACATAAAGAGGCCTCATCGCTATTAAAACTCAAGAAAAAAAGTGATGGCACCTCCCAGCTACTTGGGAGGCTGAGGTGCAAAGATGCTTGAGGCCAGGAGGTCAAGGTTGCAGTGAGCTCAGATCACACCACTGAACACCAGCCTGGGCGACAGAGTGAGGCCCTGTCTCAAAAACAAAAAATAAATAAACAAAGCCAAAAAGAAAACAAAAAGAAGTACAGGGCCAGGCTCAGGGGCTCACACCTGTAATCCCAGCACTTTGGGAGGCTGAGGTGGGCAGATCACCTGTGGTCAGGAGTTCGAGACCAGCCTGGCCAATGTGGTGAAATCTTGTCTCTACTAAAAATACAAATATTAGCTGGGCCTGGTGGCACATGCCTGTAATCCCAGCTCCTCGCGGGGCTGAGGCATGAGAATTGCTTGAACCCGGGGTGGTGGAGGTTATAGTGAGCTGAGACCATGCGACCGCACTCCAGCCTGGGCAGCAGAGCAAGACTCTGTCTCAAACAAACAAACAAGAAATACAGGCTCTGGGGAGACAGGCCTCAGGAGAGTCAGGTGGGGGACTTTGATGGTCATAGAGGCAGGGACGCTCCCATCCATGCAGGAGGCTCATGCCCTGTCCTCATGCCCCTCTCCAGCCTCCTGAGTGTTCCCAAACCCCAGGGCCCTCTAACCCCACCCCACGTCCTCACAGCTCTGCCTCCCTCAGGGCCAAGGGCTCCTCTCGCAGCAGCGGGAGCTGAGCCTGTCATGAAGGAGCCCTACGCCCGAGCCCCTGGCACACTTTGGGAGCTGGGCCTGTCATGATGGAGCCCTACGCCCGAGCCCCTGGCACGCTTTGGGAGCTGGGCCTGTCATGACGGAGCCCTACGCCCGAGCCCCTGGCACGCTTTGAGAGCTGGGCCTGTCATGACGGAGCCCTACGCCCGAGCCCCTGGCACGCTTTGGGAGCTGGGCCTGTCATGACGGAGCCCTACGCCCGAGCCCCTGGCACGCTTTGGGAGCTGGGCCTGTCATGACGGAGCCCTACGCCCGAGCCCCTGGCACGCTTTGGTTTCTTCAGCGGCATCAGCCTGGGGCCAGGGACATCAGAACAGCCTCTGCCTGAGCTTTCAGATGGATGGAGTGAACCTCACTTTGTCTTCCTGGGAGCAGCTGTGGGGGAGCGAGGTGGCAGGGGATCTGGAATCCCCCAGCTTGGGTTGAAGCCACGGCAGCTATTCGGCCTCTCTGAGTCTCAGACAGGGGCTGAGCAGCCCCACTCAGAGGACTGTTGTGAAGACGGGGTGAGCGTGAGCGTAAATTCACCGTGAAATTAAGTCAACCAGACGAATCCTAGCTAGTGTTTGTTGTGAGCTGCCTAAGTTCCAGGCACTGCTTCAAGGGCGAACTTTGCATAGACTTCAGAGGCCAGGACTATTTTGATTCCCCTTTTGCAGAGGAAGTGACTGATGCGTGGAGTGATGTCCTCACTTGCCCCAGGTGAGTGGGCGTCAGAACGTGGGTTCCCGCCGAGGCAGCCTGATCTGAGACACACTCACCGTGCTGTTCCTCGGTGGACATGGATCAGAGTCACACACTGTGGCCAACCAGGTGTTAAGGGGACGACAGGAAACAGACCTGAGCAAGCCTAGGCCACTGCACCCAGCACAAAAGCATCTCCCAATGGAGGGGAAGTCGCAGAAATAGTCAACCATGCCATAAAAATAGCAAAACCCTGTCTTTAGAAAAACAAAAAGACTGGGCTGGGCACAGTAGCTCACAGCTGTAATCCCAGCACTTTGGGAGGCTGAGGCAGGAGAAAAGCTTGAGCCCAGGAGTTCCAGACAAACCTGGGCCACAAGGGAGACCCCATCTCTACAAAAAGTAAAAATTTAGCGAAGCAAGCCAGACGCAGTGGCTCACGCCTGTAATCCCAGAACTTTGGGAGGCTGAGGTGGGTGGGTCATGAGGTCAGCAGTTCAAGACCAGCCTGGCCAAAATGGTGAAACCCCGTCTCTACTAAAAATACTAAAATTAACCGGGCATGGTGGCTAGTGCCTGTAATCCCAGCCACTTGGGAGTCTGAGACAAAGAACTGCTTGAACCCAGAGGCAGAGGTTGCAGTGAGCCAAGATCACAGCACTGTATTCCACCCTGGGTGACGGAGCAAGACTCTGTCTCAAAAACAAAGAAAAAATTAGCCAGGCGTGGTGGTGTCTGCCTGTGGTCCCAGCTACTCGGGAGGCTGAGGCAGGAGGATCATTTGAGCCCAGGAGGTTGAGGCTGCAGTGAGCTATGATCGCACCACTGCACTCCAGCCTGGGCAACAGAGCAAGATCCTGTCTTAAAAACAAAAACACCACTGGTCAGAAGATTTCAGTAGATAGTTCACCAAAGAAAATATACAAATGGCCGAGACACACGCTAAAAGATGCTCAATGTCATTAGTCATTGGGGAAATGCAAATCAAAACCACAGTGAGACCCCACTTCATACACACGAGGAGGGCTGTGACTTAGAAAAGTACAAATGTCAGCCGGGCTGTGTAAGAACGCTTCAATTCCCGCCGGGGCTGTGAAACGATGCAGCCACTTTGGAAAACGGTTTGGCAGCATCTTAAAAAGTCGAGCATTTATTTGCCACGTGATCCATCAATTTCACTTCTAGGTACCACCGAAGAGAACACATGCTCATACAAAGACTTGGACACACGTGTTCACGGTGCTGGACTCACAGTAGCCACAGATGGAAACAACACAACCGTGGGGTGTGGGTCGACGAATGAGTGGATAAACAAAATATGATTCAGCCAGAACACAGGGTCTCTCTGTCACCCAGGCTGGAGCACAGTGGTGTGACCTCGGCTCACTGCAGCCTCAACCTCCCAGGCTCAAGTGACCCTTTCACCTCAGCCTCCCGAGTAGCTGGGACTGCAGGCATGCTGCACCACCACAGCCTTTGGTATACAAAGATACAGTAATTTTTGCATTGTTTGCGGAGACGCGGTTTCACCATGTTGCCCAGGCTGGTCTGGAACTCCTGCGCTCAAGCCATCTGCCCGCCTCATCCTCCCAAAGTGCTGCGATTAGAGATGTGAACCCCCATGCCCGGACTACAGTGAAGCATTGTTCCGCCATAAAAACACACGAAGTGCCGATACATGCCACGATGTAGATAAACCTCAAAAACATGATGCTGAGGAAGCTAGTCGCACAACACGGCATACTGGATGGGTCCATGTCTATGGAATGCCCAGAACGGGCAAGTGTTTACACACAGAGAGCCGATGGGTGGTGACCTGGGACCAAGGCTGGGAAGGAAGAGGGCCTGCAAAGGGGCAGAGAGACCTGTCGTTCCCTGAAACTATTGAATTGTATACTTAAAACACGTGAATTTTTTTTTTGCAATGGAGTTTTGCTCTTGTTGCCCAGGCTGGAGTGCAATGGCGAGATCTCGGCGCACCACAACTTGCACCCCCCAGGTTCAAGTGATCTCCTGCCCCAGCCTGCTGAGTAGCTGAGATTATAGGCATACGCCACCATGCCCGACTAATTTTTTTTTTTTTTTTGAGATGGAGTCTTGCTCTGTCGCCCAGGCTGGAGTGCAGTGGCATGATCTTGGCTCACTGCAACCTCCGCCTCCCAGGTTC